GGGAGGTGATGGATGGAGCCCGGTGGGAGAAGCTAAATCCAGGCGGGAGCTAAATCTCTCCTCCGGAGGGACCTGGACTTCTTGCTTGTGGTCTCGGAGCGGCGGCCGGACCGGCTGAAGGTGGGGAAGGTGGGCGGTGGGGAAGAGGGGGGGTGGAGGAAAATTGCACTGCTGGTGGTGTTTTGGTTTTGGCTGGAAGGCTGTACCCACGCGAGACCGCTCCGGCCACCGCTCACCGCAGGGGAAAGTGGAGCCTGGGGTTTTTCACCTGCCCCCCATCGCTCTGGATTGTGGCCGGGGACCTGGCTGGGGTTTGGGGGGACCCGTCGCGAGATGTACCAGAGTTTAGCCATGGCAGCTAACCCCGGCCCTCCGGCGTACGAGGGGGCAGGTGGCTTCATGCACAGCGCGGCCGCAGCTTCCCCCGTCTATGTGCCCACCACGAGGGTCACCTCCATGCTCCCCAGCCTGCCATACCTCCAGAGCAGCGGCTCTTCCCAGCAAGGCAGCCCCGTCTCCAGCCACTCCATCTGGACTCAACCCGGAGCCGAAAGCGCCGCTTACAACCCCGGATCTTCTCACCCTCCCGTGTCACCTCGGTTCTCCTTCTCCACCAGCACCCCCATCCCTGCCACCTCTTCCCGGGAAGCCGCGGCGGCTTACAGCAGCTCCTTGAACCTTTCTGCTAACGGGAGGGAGCAGTACAGCAGGGGTTTCGGCAGCTCCTATTCCAGCCCTTACCCGGCTTACATGTGCCCTGAAATGGCCACGACTTGGACTTCTTCCCCCTCCGACGGCCCCATGCTGCACAACCTGCAGAGCCGAGGGACGCCCGCAGCCGCCCGGCACGCCAACATAGGTGAGCGCAGCCAGGGTCGGGATGGGAGAGGGAGGGTTTCACCCCCATATAATTTAGAGTAGGCCTGGAGCGGCAAGAAACGGTGTGCCGAGCTCCCGTGCAAGGGCCTGCTGGCTCCACAAATAGCTCCGCGGGGGTTGAGGGGCTGCAATGGGGACGGCCGCGGTGTGCGGGACCACGATGCTCCGTGGGCGTGCAGGCAGCCCCTTCCCCGGCTTGCTTTAGGTGTAAAATGGGGAAAATCGTTTGGAAAATGGGGAAATCAAAGTTTGGCCCGTGAATCCCAGATCTTCCCTTTGGGCTGTTCTATGTTATGTCTTTTTTTTTAATTTTTGGAAAGCTTGGTTAGGCTAGAAAAAGCGAAAGTGAAGGGAAATTTGGCGCCGAGCGGGGAGAGATGATGGAGAAGGAGAAACAGGAATGCATCCACATTTATTATCACGCTTTTTGGGGGACTCCCAGGCACATCTGAACAACCCAGCCCCATATTTCAGTGCCTCCTTGTCCCAAAAAACCTCAGCCCTGATCTCTTGTGCCGATCCCGGTCTCGGAGCCTTTCACTTCATTAAGCGCCCCTGGGTCCTACGACCAGAAATTGGCCCGAATGGTTTAAAATATTGCTTTTATATTTTGTATGGCAGAAGAGGGAGAAAGGGGGAGGGAAACGCGGGGCACATCTCTTCATCGCCGTTTCATAAACCCTTTTTTCCTCCCCGCCTTCTCTCCATGAAGGTATTTCTGTCGGCTTCGGGGTCGGGCTTAACAAAGAAGACGACTCAAATTTGTCTGCCGATACATTTTAAGATTGCGTCCTTTAACCTGAATTTTGGAGGGTAGTTTGTCCATCGTGTCTAGCAAGATTTGCTTATCTTTAGCATTCTTTGAAGACGTTAAAGAAAGGCAAGTTGGGCGTTGGTGAAGGCTTGGCCTTGCCAATGCCTTTTGCTTTTCTTTGGGCGTTATGAAATTGCTTAAAATGGGGAACAGATTATCTTTAAGGATAAAGTTTTGGCCAACCAGGCAAGGTTTTTGGGAAGCCCTGAGAAGGTAGAAAGTATGGGAAAAAAGCAGCGTGAATCAAGTAATCAAATAATAATTGAATATTATCCACAAGGACATACGCGCATTCCTATTTGACTACTGCGCCATCTCTTCCTTGGGAAAAAAAATATCACCTTTTTGCAGTGGTCTCAAAAGGGCTCTTAGTAATAAAAATAACTTAAAACCAAAATAATGCAAATGAAGAATTGCAGTTGTGGAATTACTCGGCAGCTTTTAAGGTGCCAGAGATTGAGCGTAGTGATTTTGGGGTTCCAAGCCCTGCGTTAAGCAGCGGTTTGCGTTGCAGGTTTCGCAGCCTGCATTTTGGTGGCAAAAAGTGTTTTTTCCCTGGGCTCTTAAATAGCACCGGGAAGACGGGATGCGTTGAGCCAGTCCAGAAAACGTTAGCGGTCGCTAACGAAGGAGGAAGGAGACGGGACCCCTTTCCATCGCCAGGTCCTGATTCGGGTGCTGGATTCACGGTATCGCCCCCGGCATCGCCGAGGGCAGCGCGGCAGAAACCAGGGGATTTATTAGCATGGGTCTAATTATGTCTCTGCCTTGAATGTGGAAAAAGCACTTGGGTTTTAAATAAGAAGTGCTTGGGTTTTGGTTAAAAAAAAAAAAAAGAAACTGCCTGAAAGCTGGCGAGTTTTAAATTCAGGACTAAAATGGGTTTTTCTGGAAGGCAGCTCCCCCGGCAAGTGGTTTAAGGTCCAGACCTGCCCCTTTCCCTCTTCTCCCCGAGTCGGGACGCGGCCGCTGCCGGGCTGCTGCCAGCCGGGTCCCTTCTCGACGCCGGGGCGATGCTGTGCACAGGCTGTGGGTATCGAGGGGGTTGTATGAAGCATGTAAAGGCTGGCTGGTGGTTTCTGAGCGGGGAGAAGCCGGGGGGGGGGGAGTTTATGAGCAAGGGTGAAAAGCCCTGATGGGCTGAAAAACCGAAGGCACTGAAAGATTTCGTGGGAGGGAAATACCGTCGTGGATTGCACCCATCACAGACCCACTTTAATAACACATCTGAGCCTGGCTCAGCATCTGAGCAGTCCCTGGCATGGTGGAGCCCAGACTTCTCCCTTTGCCTTTCCTTAGGACTAAAGATATTTTTATTCTCTGCACAATGAGGAATCTCAGGGTGGAAGGAAAATCCTTCACGCAAGGCTATCTTAAATCAAGCGATTTTTGCAGCGCTCTCATTTCCCTCCAGTGATTTTGCTTCCTGGAGAACCGTCACCTTTGGATAGCGCTAATTGCAGAGCCCCCCAGGATAATTAGAATATTAATTATTATAATTTTTTAATAATGACGTCTGTGCAGGTGTAGCTGGATATGCGGACATAGATACGCAGTCTGTGCAATTGGGCATGGCATTTTTCCCCCGCTGTAAAGCAATGCACTGGGGAAAGAAGTTTAGTGAAAACGTATTCAAATAAAATGATTCTAAAAGAAATAAAGATCTTCTTGTTTTTCCCTGATAAGAGGAATTTTGGCCTGGATTAAAACGTGCCAATGCAGCTGTGTAGTATAAAGTGCTGGGAAGGACGGGTGCATAAATCACATGGGCCTATTTCAAAAACTTTCCCCAGTGTGAGTTCAAAAAGGCCAAATTTGGGCTTTTCAGGGTAAGTTTGGCAAATGATTTCATTACCCTGAAGGGCAGGATCAGACCCTGCGGCCGGCCGAGGCCGTGAACTTGCTCCAGGCATTGCCTGGGATGGGGTTAGAGTGAATTCCCGACTTAATGAGGCATGAAAAGGATCCGCTGCAAAGTCCCTTTTCAGGAGACTTCCCTGCCAGAGCCAAAAACCGCTTGAAAACTGTCCCAAAACTAGCAGCTTGCCCCTTCCCCCTTCCCCAGGCAGAGGGGAGCGGGGATCGAGGGCGGCACGGGAGCCCGACCGCATCCAGCCCGCTGCCGCTTGCTGCCTCCTGGACGCTTCCAGGCTCGGGATGGAGGGCCAGATCCCGGTTTGCCATCCTCGCCCCCTGTAATTTTGCCTTTTCGCAAAAAAGCGGCGGGGGTTTTTCTTTTGCTGTGGCATCGAGGAGGTTGATGTGGTTGGGAGTAAATCGGGGCGAGGGGCTGTGGGCATTTCTGGTGGGTGTTTTGACTAAGTGGAAATCAGGGTTCCTCAAACAGGCACTGTTTGAACACAGCAGCAGCATCTGGGAAGATCAAAGCCTGGAGCAGACGCTGGGTTGGAAAATGTCTTCTCTGCTGCTGGTGGGGGAGAGATTGTGAACCAGATCTTAAGCTTTCCCATAGGGATGCTAAGAGATTTGCCCTGTAGCATCCCCGGGGCCAGCATTTCCAGTGAGTCATCGGCATTTGCTGCAATCCTCTGCCCAACAAGCAGCCCCTGACCTTCCCCGCGCACCTAAGGACAAGGTGGCTGCTCCCCGTGGGGCAGCGGGCGATGGGGGGAGCCCAGCATCTCTGCTGTCCCTGCCCTCGGAGGGATGGGACCATAGGATGGAGGGATGGGGCCACAGGACGTGCCTGCATTTTGCACGGGACCCTGCATCCCCCCTTTTGCAAGAGGTTGCATTTCTCACCTCGGCTCCGCCGGCGGGGAACGTTGGCCCAGGGCTTTGTTCCCCCCGCGGGTTTCAAGCCGCCTTCTGCTCTCCCGCCTAATTTAATTGTCACCACTCAGTCTGGGATTTGGGATGAAACCCATAGAATTAGGGGACACGAGATCGAGCTCAAACACACAACTGTTTTTTACTCCCCAAGTCCCCGGACGGTATATTTTAAATTATAAATAAAGCAACAATAATAATAAAAAATATCACCGTCACGGGCACTGTCGCACCCTTAGCAATAATACAGTGCCTTCACTGAAAACTGCACCTTTATTACCGAATACAAATGCATATGTTGCATAGAACAGCCATGGTGTAGTATATAATACCTGATAAATGCTTGTGAATTTTTGTAAAGCAGTAAAACTTAAGGCAGTGGATAGTGGCCCTGAATCTAAGACTTTATTAAGCCAGGATTAATTATTTTTCTCCTCCAGACATGCACTCACGTGCGTGTCTTTGTCCCTGTAACAATAACAGCGATTTTTTTTTTCTCTTTTTTTTGAGAGACAGCCTATATTTTGCTCTTTCTGTATTTATTTCCATCAGTTTGGGGGCGAAATCCTTGGAAACAGATGAGGGTTTATCTGGTGTTTCCCAAAGGACAGTGGATCCCATCCTGCTGCCTCCGTGCTTTTCCGATGATGGAGAAACCTTGGCTCGGCAGGCAGAGGGGGGGCTCCCCAAAGCTGGTTATCCCAAACGCAGCTGGGTATTTTGAATGGGCAAACCATCTTGCTCCCGATAGCTGGAAAATTAAGGATGCCTCGGAAAAAGAACCACCGACGAAGCACCAACCGGCAAATAAAATCCCACACTGGGTGAGAAAGCAGCAGCGCAGCAAGATGAGCGAGTTTTTGTGCCTGAAGGTCAGCAGCCTGTTGCTGCTGGGGAGGGGGTGTGTGCAGGGGCTGTTAAAATAAAGGTGGAAAAACGCAATTTTAAGGAAAATGCAATTAAGAAAACCCCTTGATAGTGTAGCCCCAAAACCTGCAGAGACCTTGTTTCTCACTGGCACAGGGCTCCAGGCTGAAATTTTTGCTCCTCGAGCCCCGCAGAGCTCTGCACGCGTAGGAAAAAGGGGGTGCAAATATAACGTATCTCCTTTGGGAGGTTTTGTTCCCACATTCCCTGCCCCGCACGCCAACCTGGTGTGTCCTTCCCTCCCTACAATTTCCCTACTGAAAAGGAGGTGGAGAAATGGGATATTCGGGGATCTCCCCTTGCTCGGCGATCCTCCCGGGGGGCACAAGGCAGAGGAACGTGGGGGGATGCAGCTGAACATCTCGGGTCCTTCGAGGCTTTTGCAACCCCCTTATAAAAAGACTTAACGAAGCGTCTGCCTCCCATTTGGGGCTCACCACCGCCTGCGA